ATTTCAGGTGTGGAGTGTGGCAGCAGGGTCTGCAACCTGTTCCCCATCTCCTGGCTCTATCAAAGCCAGCTGTGATACAGGGCAGCTGTGTAAGCTTGGTGAGAAGTCTTCTTGGGGTCTTTCTCCCTTTGTTCAGGAGTCGCATTTAAGCTCAGTTCCCTGCCTAAACTACACTGTGCGTGTGCCTGTACCTGGCTGTGTGCCTTGCTGACCGTGACCTTGACTTGGCTTGCCTTGGCTTGACTTGGCTTGCCTTCCTGGCTTGACTTTGGACCTACCTCATCACTGGAAACTTGTCTGGTGAGTGTGGCTGACCCCAGTTAATGTCACTAGACCTGTGCTGCTTGCTCAGAGGCTGTGGGACTGTGTTGCTTGCTCATGAGGTCGCTTCCTGCCTTGCTTTCTCCCTTGCTCCTGGCTCATCTCCCTGGGCAGAGGTCTTGCTGCTGAGAATGAACTGCTGTGCTGTTCTGAGTGTCCATGAGAATGGGTAAGTTTCCTTGGGAGGATGAATTCGTGGAAATATGTGAAGAGGAATTATTCTGATGGGGTATTGACTTAATCATAAAAAATCAGTTGTACTGATCTGTGCTCATGGGTGGTTCTTTATGTCAAAATGGTATCTGTTGTGTGCTTTTGTGATGTTAAAAAGTAAAAACAAGGTATGTAATTGATTACACTGTAAATTCTTCAGACAAGAGGCTAGATCTGTCTTATGATCCAGGAGACTATATCATATATTATCATTTTTGTTGACTTAGTGGCTCAAGATTTGATAGCAGGTAACTAATGCTTTCACAAGAAGCAATTCTCAAATAAAGGGTACTTTGGCAGTAATAAACCTCATGTTTTAGGTCCAAGATCTTCCCCTGCCATGACTGGCTTGCTGCTCATGGTAGCTTCTTTGGTGGAGTAGAATGGAGGAAGAAAAAACTCCACATTGCATGCCCGGATGAAGGCTGGCAGAGCTACTGTGAGCTCCTCTGTGCTGTACTGCCTCTCATGCTGAGCTTTCCACCCTCCTCTCTCTGGAGGGTTGCCCACTGGCAAGAGTGGTGGTGGGAGACCTGTGTTGTTCTGCTCATCCTGGGCATGGTGCTCAGAAGGAGGATGTCTGGACCCAGAAGCCACAGCCTGGGGTAGTGAGTCCCAGCCTTATTGGTTGAGCCTTACTTGAAATAAATGCTGCTCCTGCTCTGTGCTTGGCATCACGCCCTCCCCACTCGCCTGGAGCTGCTCTGGCCCATCTGACCTTCCCTGTTGGAGTCCCTTTGACCAAAGCTGTTGCAGTGCTCTCTGCTCTTTCCCTGGCAGCTCTGGGTGCTTAGGTCTGGGCCTATGCTTCTGGAGGACTTTGAGAGCCTCTTGGGTACCGCTGTGCCACGCTACAGTGGACATCAGGCCAGCCCATGTGCTGCCATTGTCCAGCATCAGGCCCTACCTTGCCTGCAGAAACCCTCTTGTTCTGCAGATGTAAACCATGTAAACCAGCTTGTGTGATGGAGACAGTTACAGGACATAAGGAAATAACTACAGTAAGGATAATAATTAATAATAATAAATTCACTGTTTTGGAGGCTGCTCTAAATTTTCAGCTTTGACAGGTCATTATTAAAGGACCAGACGTGTTTTAGAAAGGGTGAGTGTAAACATTACTTCATCTCTTTGCTATGACTACTTGGTGGAGCTCTGCTCCCCCTTCTTATTTTTTCTTTTTCCTTAAGAAAAGAGGAATGTTTTCTCTTTGTGAATAGGTGTAAAGTACAAGCTTGTGCCAAGATGCCTGGTATTTGGCCTCCTCACATGCTTTCAGGACATGGGTTGCATGTAAAGCAGGAGAAGTGTAGAGAGTTGGGACAATGGATATTGGGGAGTAATTGAAAGATTAAAAAGAAATCTCGGACATTACAGGGAGACAAAGATTATAATGAAAATAAAGGAAGGTATAAGGGCAAAACTTGGTAGGGCAAGAGAAGCATTGCTTTTTGGGTTTTGTTGTTTTTTTTTCTAGGGACAAACACAGCTTTTCTTTGTTTCTTGGCAAGTATGTGCTTTTAGTGTAACAGGAACATTGTGGTAGAGTTGTTTGGTAAGGACTTAGGTTAAAAAAAACAGAAAATCTATAGCGATTCTGTACCCTGACTCTTCCTGTCCTCTTCATCCTTCTCTTCCTTTTCTTTAATTCTCTGCAGGCAGAGTGATGGAGAGATGGTGCTCCTGGCACCTAAATCATTCTCTTCTCTCAGTATGAATCTCCTCGTTTGAGTTATTACTTGAAATCCGGTGAACTGTTTTCTAAATAACTTGAGACCAGTTTAGAACTTCACATTAAGCAAGTGAACAAAATCTCCTCTGTTTTACTGCTTAATTCAAGACATAGATGTTCCAGTTTGCCTGTTTCCCTGTGATGTACTGCGTTCCTTGATCAGGCTGAACAGCTACCACCTGGCAAGTGCTCAAGTTAGCCAGAGCTCATGCATTACACCCTCCTGAGACAGAAGCAGAAGACAGGAGCAGGTCACTGCCCTTGCTGTGGATCAGAGTAGTTTGAGCCTTCCTCTGGAGTAACTTGAATTCATCTCCTTTGATTCATTTGGTAGAAAGGTGCCTGGCTGCCGAAGGAGTCAGGAGCAACTGGAGCTGATATTAGCTCCACTGGTTCTTCGTGTACTTCAGAAAATGGTTTTAATTGCTTCATTGCACACAGCCACGTAGGGTAAGGCTGGACCTGTGTCTCTGAAGCAGAACAGCATGATCTGTTCTGTGCTAAATGGCTGTTAGGAGTGATCAGAGTAGTGTAGGGCCCTAACATGGTCTCATAATCATACAGGGTAGGGAAGGCAAACTTGATAGCTTAAAAGCTTTCAAAATAATCAGAACTTGAAGAACAATTGAAGGTTGGGAATTCATCTGTGCACAGATCAAGCATTCTCACTGATGTTAAGGGACCTTTATCCATCTCTGACCCTGCAAATTTACTTTGAAGGTGAGATATAGCTGACTTACCAGTTCTTAAGTGGAGAAACATATTCAGGAATCTTGATTCTATAATAAATCAATAAAATTTCCAACACAAATGACCTTATTCATCAGCAAAACTTTCAAGCAAAATAAATAATCCTTTAATTCAGAAGACTATAACTTAAAAACACTAATTATTGTTCAAAATACCTCAGTTTTTAAGGTCTTTTTCTTGTAACTGAACATACTTTTACACCACCTCTTAGGAAGAATGCATAGCAGTGTTATATCAGATTCTGTCCCAATGCAAAAGACTTCATGACTATTTTAAATAAAAAAGCAGTACAAATGTAAACAGATCAAAATGATTTCCAAGTACATCTGAACAAGAGTTAATGTTTACATTCTTGCATAGAAATTATTAAACTTCTAAAACCTCAGGAGTATGTCACAAAATAACAATATGCCTAACCTTGATACCTAAAAAAAAATATTGGAACTACCATAATATCATACATGCTATGCTGTAGCAGGGCACTGTGTTGCAAGAAAAACCTAGCACAACACGAAATCCTGAATTTTGACCCAGAACATCCCATTTATAGGAACCTTGAAAATATTTTGTATTTCCTACTGAAAATAGCCATCACGATTTTCTTTAAAAAATAGAAACTCAACTTTTATGTAGCTGCATTAATAAGCATAAAAAAGATTATTTCAAAAGAGATTCCCACCCTTGTAAGAAGGCTTAGAGAAGGCTCCAAGGAGGCCTCATTGGAGTCTTTCAACATGTATTGGAGGCTTATTAGAAAGATGGGGACAAGCTTCTTGTGATAGGACAAGAGGAAATGGTTTTAAACTAAAACAGCATGGAGTCAGAGTAGATATAAGGAAGAACTAATTTACAGTACAGTTGGTGAAACACAGGCTGCCCAGAGAGGTGATGGATGGATGCCCCATTCCTGGAAGTGTTCAAGGTCAGGCTTGATGTAGTTCTGAGCAACCTGATCTGGTGGAAAATATCCCTGCTCATTGCAAGGAAGGTTGGACAGGATGACCCTTAAAGGTCCCTTCCAACCCAAACTATTCCATGATTATAAGAATTACTTTTGCAAACTGGAACGTGTTTTCCAAAAGATCTTAAACCTTTGTTGTGATTTTGTCTTTCATACATGAATATGTGGTTGACTAAGGAACCAGCCTTTTGGGATAGGAAATGAGGAGTGGCTGGTGTCCTGGTGTCATTGAGATATGCTATTTTTATTTATTTTTTTAAATAAGCAGTCACTAATGGGATGCAGACCAGGACACACATTCAAACTGACCAAGATCTATTAGGCTGCTGCTGTTCCCCTGCTGGGTGCCAGGCATGTGCTCTAAGTCACATGCGGCAGGGCCCTCTCAGTATTTGGGCAGTACAACATCCACCCCTTCCCAAGAGCAGGAAGGTGCTTAAGGAGGGGAACAAGGCATCTTTAGGAAGTGTTTTACCAAGGGGGTTCAGTTTTGAGCAGCTGCCTGCAGCCTCACATGTACCACACACTGCTTTTGCCTTAACTTTCCAGGGAAGCACCCGTGTGTGCCAGCCTGCCACAATTGACATCTCTTGGTAGGAAAGTCCTAGAAAACTACTTTTCAGAGATCAAATGTAAAATTGCTCAGAAAAGCCTGATTACCGTGGGCTGAGCATCAGGAAATGGAGGTCACGGCTCACTGCCTTCATGGAATTTTTTGAAGACATTACTGCACAGGAGATGTAAGGGACAGCTATATGCTTGCCAAATGGGTCTGAAAATGATAATGTGCTTAATCTGCGTTTCAAAACTGCCTTTTTAATGCCTTTATGAAGAGCTGTGTGTGCTACTCTGCATTTACAAAGTACAGTGAAAGCCAATGTTGTAAGCATCATTGATGGGGTCTTACAAAAATGACTTAAATGGTGTGTTGTGAGTAATAGTGACAAATACTGCCAGGAAATTAGGCCTGATCAACAGAGGATGAAGATGCAACAGAACATGTAATTTGAAAACTTCACAGAGTAGAACTCATTTAGATTCCTTTTCATATTTGTATCAACAGTGAAGAAATTCAGGGACAGGAATGAGATATTAAAATATTACTTGGCAGAATGGATGGTCTGGATTTGTATGTCTGAGTAAACATATCTACTTCAGGTTCTTTTCTGAAAGACTTGGAACTGGAGAAGCTGTAACCTCTGTAATACCATCCCTTCCTCTTCTATGAATTCCTTCAGCAGCTGCTCCATGGGGCTTTACGTTCTGCAAATGGAAAGGGGGTCGGATCACAAGGGGAACATCTGTGTGCCAGAACTGACCCTCAGCCATGTATGCTGGCCTTGTGAGTTATGCAGGACGTGAATAATGTTACCTGCTAGATTGAGGTGATTCTTTTTCATTTCATGTTCCACCCTTGGTATCACTGAATGCCGAAGGACAGCCATTGAGTCCAGGGGGATGTAGTATCCCTCCTCTGCTTCCCAGAAGACTTCTTTCTAATTTCTCAACTCCACACATCTAGAGAATCTGGACCATGTTTCAGTGCCTGGTGCACAGTAGGTCCTTACTTGTTTACACTCCAAAGAGGAAATGTGACCCTCAGTAGTAATGTATGCTAATTTGTGCATCTGATCATAGCATCATAGAATCAACTAGGTTGGAAAAGACCTTTAAGATCATTGAGTCCAGCTGTTACTCCAGGAATATAGTATTTATTGTTAAAATTGTGCAGTTTCAGTCAGTTGGCAGAGTTGGGGGAATACCAGCATATAGAAACACTTGTGTTCTTAAGATGACAGTATGTCTGTGAAGACATGATGTATCAAAAGCCATCTGAAGGTATAGGACCTCCCGAGCTCTAGAGCTAGGAGTGGGGACTCCTGAGCAACTGGACTGACCAAATGTGTGTTTTCTCCAGAGAAAATGTGGAGGCCTCTAGGGGAGGGAGAGGAAAGGAGAAAGCAGTTAAGTTAATAAAACTGCCTCATGAGCACATCTCAGAAGAGAGAAAGAAGTGGTGGGGAAAATGAGGATCAGCATCTATATTTCAGGCTTCATCTACCACCTGAACTGAAAGCAGGCTGATGTTCAACAGAGTTTTTAATTCAAATGCCTGTTGAGCTCAGGCTCCACATGAAATATCAATAATATCAAAGCTGTGAGGTTGTTTGTGGTATTCAGTTGCTTCCTGGCAAGCTGAATGAGGGTGAGGAAATGCATAGTTCAATCTTTGCATTTAGGAAGTAACAGAAAAGCTGTGTTAAAGCTGAGAGCTAGAGCTGTAGATAGGAAGCACAGAATTAAGTCTGGACTGACTCCCTGTGTGTACACATTCTTTTTAGTATATAATTTGCCAAATCAATATATACAAACTAAACACCCTTTTTTACAACTGTGGGTTTGATAAGTTCTAGCACAGGTGGGTGGTTTTTTTTTGATTTGTTTTGGTTTTTTTAACTTCCATGGTATTATTAAGCATTTTCCTAAAGAAAGTGTGCCAGAAACAGGGATTATGCCATTGCTTTATCAGTTCCTTCATCACTTCAGAATTTTGGGCAAACTTCTAACCAGATTTGGTTGAAGTGATGTGAGAATAGTTGGGGAGAAAATGGAAAGGAATTTTAACTTTTACTGAAGGGAAAAACTGTATTCATTAGAGAGTCCTCCAAGGACTTGAACCTTAAGACATAAAATTTATGAAAAGTAATACCTTATTTTGTTGCTTAACATCTTAACAAGTTAAAATGTTACATATAAAGAGAATTGTCTCCATAATTTTGAAGCTACTAGTCCCTTGTGCTCCAAAAATTTATGTGCAAGACTAGTCTTGGCAGATCATGAGGCTCATTAACTTCTTCAAAGCTATTCGCCATTAAGCCTGTGCATAAATACTTGCAATATCTGGCCTTTGCTGAAACTAAATAAATGCTGAAAAGAGCTCTTAGCTATGGCTGGAATGAAACGTCTTCAGTGGTGGTGTATCATGTCATTGTAACGTTCAGCTTGCTTGTGGTACACAGAACTGAATGAATATCCTTTGTTGGTCAACTTACAGCCCCTCTGCTCTGGCATAGTATAGCTGGGAAGACAAACACAGATTAGATAAAGAAATTCTATTTTATGAATTATGGTGGTAAGCAAATGCCTGTGAAGTGCAATGCTGTTTGTATAGTTTTAAAAAAATTGATAAATGTTCTAAGGCCATTGGAATGGGAGCTGAATCAAATGTTTCGTTTTTAAAAAGCACCACAGTTGCTTTTGATTATTTAAAAAATACGGAAAAATGCCCCACTCTGAAGTCAGACTGGCCCTGTTTTTTAGGATTTAAAATTAGCATTGAACAGTCTGTTCTGGGAGCCCATGGTTTTAGCACATATTTTTTCCACCGCAGTCAGCTCTGGATTGACTAGGGTTGCTTTCCTTCCTTCAAATACTGTGGCTGTTCAGTCAGGAATGTAAAACTAAAATGAACAACAGGGAGGAGAAATTATTAGGATTGTTTACAAATTTAGATTTGCATGAGGGAGCGGAGATGTTGACAGTTATACTTTAAGACTCAAGCTACCGCAGCTGGATAAACATTTATTGGATATCTCAAGGCATTTCTCTTTCCCCACCCCCATGGCAGAGAATGAACCAAATGCAAGTCCAAGCTAATTTGAAAAATAATAGAACAGCTTTCAACAAAACCTATTTATCTATGAGGTCAAAAAGCCTCAGCCTACTTACACTCCTAGATAGGCTCTTCTTGACAACATCGTCATACTATCCAAGAGGCCAGGAGTTGTAGTGTTACAGACCACCCAGAATCATTGCTCCCACAAGACAATGATAATGATGGTATGATTTCACTGCCTACAGACTTGAACTAACCTTTTAATAGCTTGAGTAGCCATGAGAAACGTACAGCATTGTTGTGTTTTATGGATCACTTTTCCTGGCTGCTTTTTACTCACCGGTAATGTTGGTTGATTGAAAAAATAAAGAAAAATTGTAAGAAAAGAAATGAAGAAACAGGTTGGTATCAGCATGCAAAGCTTATCAAAGCTAACTGTGATTAATAAATAGGCTCATATTTCTGGGATTCAGTAAATTTGACACACCAGAATTTTGTCAAACTCCTTATAGAAGGAATATCTGATGTTTCTTGTGGTGAACAGATAACAGTTTGTCTTCTGGAACAAAAATGTGAATGCATCCTAAATGCAAAAGGTTTGCAGTTTTCTGAATCTGTAAACAAAACTTCTGAGGCCTTTGGGTGCATTAGCAATATAAATCTGAGCGCACTCTGCAGGAAATAACCACTTCAAAAGCTTTACTGACCTCATGTTGAGAAAAGATTGCAGAAATAAATTCTGATAAATCCATTCCAATTGCTGAATGATCGTCAAGCTGATGGACAGTCCCATATGCAGGTCTGATTTAAAAAAAACGACCAGTCAACCAAACCCCAAACATGAGAATGTTTTTGCAGAGGTTGGGGTTCTATTCTTGCTTCCTCTCCGGCCAAATGGAATTGTACCATAGGTTTGAATGGGAGCAGATATGGCTTAAGAAATGGGCAGCTTTCATGGGGAGATGTTTGTACACATGGCGATCTGTCTGTGTAAGTGCCGATTTCCATACTCAAATATCTGTTTGCATAAGGAAGCATATTTGGGCCCAGCTGTACTTAAATACTGCAAGGTGCTCATAAATCTCCTTTTTGTCATTGCTATTTGGAATTTTCTGCTACCATCTACCACTGAAAAGTAACATGACCTTGTTTGCCTTTTTCTCTCCAAGCACCCCCTTCCACAAGTCCAACAAGATAACTATGAGTTTATGGAAACTATCATGGTGCTTTCCTGGCAAATCTTTGATATCTACAAATATCTTGCAGATAAGATTATCTTTGTTACAGTTATGCAGATATGAGTAACGTTACCTTGTAGGTTGAGATGGGTCTTTTTATATCATGTTCCACCATGGAGAATTACTAGCAAATACTTCAATCATTGTGATTTCTGTTTTTGTGGGTTATCAGGTTGGTTTGGTTTTTCTTTTTTTTTTTTTTGGTTATGGCTGATGTTGGGGTATTTTCAGTGCATTAGGATGTACTCACTAAAGTCTGTATATTTGTGAAGGGTTTTGAGTGAGTATTTTATTTGTTTCATTGGGTTTTCACAGATTTTCAATTCTGAACACTGAAGTCGTATCTAGTACCAAATAGGAATGGTGCCATCGTCTTCTGAAGAAGCTTCCACATTTGTGACTGCAATTCTACTCTTTGAGCTGTAATTTAGCATAAGCACAAATATTAGTAAAATATAAGATTAACCTTTTAGGCTCCAATAGGCCCTCCATGACCACACCTGGTGTCATGATCCCTAGTGTGTGAGCAATTGCTTCAAAATCTTCCCAGCACTGATTAGCTCTGGTGGCTGGAAAAGCACATGTGGAGGGAAGAGGCAGGGAATGCTCTGATGTTCCCCTCCCAGCTAGTTTAAGTGACTTTCACCCCAAGAACTCTCAGAATTCAATCCCCTTCATCACATTCAGTGGTTATAAAGGTGATATCAGATAGCTTACACTATTTGTTTTGAGCTAACCTCTGGGAGATAGAGGTAAATGTTAGCTGCAGATTGTTAGTAATGTTTCTATATGGCTAGAGATGGGTTTCATTTAAGCAGGATACTGTAAAGAAAAGCTGTTTTTCCACAGTCACTGTGATTTACTTCGAATGCTGCAGCTCTTCTTGTTTACCATCTTGTTTTATATAAACTTTGTCATGGAAACAGAAGTTTGTGTGATTTTCTTCTTCACTATATCATATTAGTCATAGATTTCTTTGGTGGGTTTTTCCTGTTTGTTTTGTAAACCACAGAGAAATGTCCCACTCCCTTTGTTTTAATTCCATGTGCAGCATGCCAGGAGAATGAGGTGTCACAGAAACATCTCTTCCCATCTGAGTAGATTCATTTCACAGCCAAAAGAGTGTGGGGTTTGGTGTGCCTTTTTCAGCAGCCTCAGTCATGTAGCCCAGGAGCAGGGCTCCTTTGCTCCATTGATTTGGCAGCATATGGTCTCTATAATGTCTACAAAAAAATATAGAATCATAGGATCAAAGAATCGTTAAGGTTAGAAAGGACCTTAAGATCACCTAGTTCCAACCCTCCTGCCATGGGCAGGGACACTAAACCGTGCCACCAAAGGCTCTGTCCAACCTGGCCTTGAACACCGCCAGGGATGGAGCATTCACAACCTCCTTGTGCAACCCATTCCAGTGCCTCACCACCCTCACAGTAAAGAATTTCTTCCTTGCATCCAGTCTAAACTTCCCCTGTTTACGTTTTAACCCGTTACCCCTTGTCCTGTCACTACACTCCCTCATGTAGAATCCCTCCCCAGCAGCTTTATAGGCCCCCTTTAGATACTGGAAGGCTGCTATGAGATCTCCACGCAGCCTTCTCTTCTCCAGGCTGAACAGCCCCAACTTTCTCAGCCTGTCTTCATACGGGAGGTGCTCCAGTCCCCTGATCATCCTCATGGCCCTCCTCTGGATTTGTT